ACAAAGAAAAAAAAAATTCATTACTCCATTTATTCTCTCTCAATGAGTGTTTTCAATTCTAACATCAGTTAACTGGTAGCCACATATTAAGCTCAACACAAGTCTTCTGGAACTCAAAGAGATCGTTCGTTCTCCTTTCTTTGCATGATAGAATGTTCTGTACACACCAAACATTCTATTGATTTTCCTGTTTTCAAGAGTAAAGAAGTAATGGACTTCCAAAAATGCACCCCAGCGTTTCAAAAGAATTATTTACTTTTTTCTGTTTTTTGTTCTTTTAGCTTTTCCTTTTTGTTATTAAATTATTTTTAGCCTTATTTCGGGATTACTTTAATATGTTTGCATTGCTTTCATCAGCCAGGAATGATGAAGTTGGCCCAGAAAGCATTTTGCTCTTGGGTTCGTGCATATACTGCTCATCGTGGTGAGTTGAAAAGAATTTTTGTGGTGAAGAAACTTCATTTAGGGCATGTAGCAAAGAGCTTTGCGTTGAAGCAACAACCGTCTGTTGTTGGAAAATCATTCAAGAAACAGGAAAAGAAAAGGAAAAGATATCCAAAGCAGGATGTCTCATCATCAAAAAAGAGGACTTTGTAAATCAGTGGAAAGGGTAAGCATGGAGGGGCTTTTAGTGAATGTGCAACATAACTGTTGATTCATTTTGTTTACTTTTCTACATGGTAGCTATGTTGAATGCTGTGATTGTGAACTGTTTATCATGTCTAGGTCGCGTGCATCAATTGCAAGGCACCTCCCAAATTTTGAATTATAGTCAGTTATGTTTATCATGAGTTATGTGTATGCAACTTGTAAACGAATCTGGCCTAATTGAGTGAGTATGACTGATTGAGTAGGTATACATATTGGAGTGAAGCTTTTATTGTTTCAGCTATGTACAAGTTTTTTGCTCTGATTCATTGTTGTCTTTAATAACTGGGATTTGTGAAGCAATAAATACGTGGACCATGACTACCAAATATGAGAGTAGGTAGTCAGAGGCCCAGCAATCCACCCACCGCGCGAACGCGTAGAGGAGGTTGGGGAGTCCAAATCGAAGCACATGGGTGGTTTGAAAGCAGAAGGGGTCCAACAGGATTGGGAGCCAGCCGTACCCTATGCATTCAGGACCAGCCGAACGGAAACAGTTATATGGGATTCTCTACACTCCCACGTCAAGGTGTATTTCCCTTTCTCTTGTACCCACCACTTGGAAGGCATAAATAGGTCGATGTTAAGGCCCAATTTCGGTTACTTGGTGCATTTGCTGTCGGACACCTGGAATTGGTGCCCCCAGGGTACGATTTCATCTCTCTATTCCTCTTAACCTTCTTTAATGGCATCCTCCCTCCTCCACCTGTGTCCCCTGCAAAAACTTCGTCTCCTGCGGATATATATCCTAATTTTTTAATGTATTCTTCCAGTAATCCAGGCTCTTTTTATTTCCTGTATGTGACTCCATTCACCATTCTTTTGAAGTAAAAATTAAAGTTTGGAAACTGTATTTGATACGTTATTGTTAATATTTTGCTTGTTGATGGTTGTAGTTTCTTGGACGGTTCATTTTCATCACATGATTTCATATAAACCCAGTATTGAAGGTCTTCCCAATAATGTGAGAATGCTAGTCTCAGTTTTAGTTGGTTTTGAAAGGAAAATGAGCTATTGCTCACCTTGTATCATTTGGTTTATATACATTTGAGATTGTGTAGAATTGAAAGGTATGTTGGAATTGATCTGTCACGGTGAATATGTACTTGGGCCTTTTACACTTCCCAGTGAAGGATTTGGACATGAAGCTAGCTTGCTACCACGAGATGTGACGGCTCTGCACCAAGGCAAAAATAAAAAAATATCCATTTGGATCTAGACAATCTTGAGTGTTGTTAGCGTTTTAGGGTGTTATCAGTGAGTTTGTACTCTTTGTTGTTTGCCATATGATTTCTGGCATCCACATAATATAATCTTAATATAATGTTAGTAAACTATATGTGAGTGCCAATTAACGTGGCTTAGGTTGTTGGGGAATAATATGGTTCTCTTTCAGCTCTGCGGTAGATCAGAAATACACAACACCTTGGCTGCATTGTTGTTGTACATATGAACGTGAGAGTGTGTGCAGACAATAGACTCCATCATTAATTTGTTTGCACACTGCGCACGTACGCCTGAAAAGATATTTACCATATGGCAGGTCAGGGAAAAAGAAGCCTCCCGTTCACAAGCGCGTATGCTATGGTGTTACCAATATCCACTAGTGGAAGAAGGGGAATGCAAGTTGATTGATTGAACCCCACCTTCAATAGTGCATTAAAAGACTGGCCCTCCCATCACCTCATCATCCTTTGTATAAAAGATATGGTAGAATATTACCTAGATTGTGACCTTAGTGGTCCATTAATATATCAACTTCATCTGGGAGAGTGCGTACTTAAGAGTTTGGATTTACGAGCGATAAATTCAATCCCTACTTGTCTTGTCGACACAAGTCGACATATTTTGTTAGGTGCAAACAAATTCTTACATTGACGAGAAAATGAAAATAACAATATCGTATAAGGATAATTATTTTTGTTGATATGAGATATTCTAAGTGAATCAAAAAACAAATACATGAGAGTTTATATCTAAAGTAGATAATATCATACCCTATTAATTAATTAATTAATACAACTTTATATGCAACTTTGTACCTATAGAATATACTACTCCAAAGCCTAGGGATCGTGTTTAAAGGTGCATACGTGGTGTGAATCCTTCTAATAAAATATGCATGCATGTCACTTTATTGTATTTAGATCTATTAGCATCTCATACCTTACCACATAATTATATAATGAGTAAGTTGGGAAGAGAGTAAAATTAACCAAAGCATGTGTTAATTTGGCATTTGATATTGGTTGCCTCGAGCATCCACTTATTACAAGAACGAGATGGAATCATTCTGCGGTGCTTACACATTCATACCAGTTTTCAATCCAATCCTATCTAGCACCATAGAGTAATGTAACAAATAATTAAACGTACTAGACTCCATAATTTCATAGTTTTCATATATGAGGATCACATATCGAAAAAAACACTTGTTGATTTAATAGATTACCCGTGGTGTCAACCACAATATTATATAATATCTCATTTGTCAACTACAATGATATCATAATAATTTTTTTTTACTTAAACCATGTGAGATGGAAATGGATTCCACTACTTTTATTTGAAGTGAATCAAATGGGACTTGGGGATAACAATAAATATTAGCACTATTGATCAGAAGTGGAAGAGACTTTGTTTTGGACTTCTTAAAAAGAGGTTCATCCCATATATTTTTTATTTATAAACTAAACTCAAGGATAATTCTTTAAATTAGTCAACATAAGACTTTTTTTCGACCATTCTCGAAAGGGGTATTATTAAGGATATTGGAACACTGAACAGTGACTAACTGGCATGCGCATGATCGCTAAAAAAAAAAAAATAATAAATAAATAATGTTGATCCACACCACAATCAGGTCGGAGTTGGAGGTAGTTAGCCCGACAACTGCTGCTGCTCTTCACATGGCTGTCTGCTCTCTCTCTCTCTCTCTCTCTCTCTGCCCTTTCATTAACTATTTCTAAATCCAGAAAAAAAAAAAAAAAAAAAAAAA